AAACAAACTGTGACTTACAAAATTTTTGAAATGTGATCGTAAAAAAATTTGTGACATAAAATTTTTGATTTGTGACCAAAAAAAAATAAGTGACTAATTATATTGTTAATTTGTGACCAAATTGTATAAATCTGTGGCCTAAATATATTTAATTAATAAAATAATTAATTTACTAATTAAATTATAAATAATTTTTAATAAAAATCTGATTTTAGAAATTTGAAACTTGTTTTCTTATTTTTGAAATGTGCCATAATTAATTTCTTAGTTATGAAATTTTCCCAAATTTCTATGCAACCCGGCCTAGACCTTTGGCCCATTACTATAGCAAGAAGGTCCTTCTGGTCTTGAACAGATCTGCTTTAAAAAAAAATAAAAAATAGATTTTTATTTATGTTTATCAGAATATAGGTGCCCAATTGAATAGTCAGATCATTTTTAAGAGACTTTCTAAACACAAAATACTCTCTATTTTAGACAGTCAATGCTTAAAAATAAGTTTTAAGAGACTATTTTAAATTTTTATAAGACACTCTATTTTTAATGAACAAATGTAGTTTACAAATTTCAATACCCTACAATTTAAATTATTCAAATTACATTTGAATTCATTAGCCATTAATATATTAAAAAATTATATTAAATAAGAAATGAGTAAAAATCAATAAATGTTCATCGGGAAAAAAATAAAGAGTATTGTTGGAGTGCATAAAAAAAAATTACTCTCAAAATTTAAAGATACTCTCTATAAACAAAAAATACTCTTTATAATTAAAATTAAGTGAAAATTACATCCATCCAGAGCTTTTAAGTTCCCAATTCAAAAATAAGATTGAAAGAATTTTTGTTCAAAAATCAGATGATGATGAGATGGTAGTGGCGTTGGTGACGATGGTGTTGGTGTTCGTGTTGGCATTGACACTAGTGCTCGCTTTGTAGTTGAAAACGGTGGTTTGTTGGTAGTTGTGGTGCCTTAATGGTTTCTTGTTGATAGTCTATAAAGGAGTGTTGGTGGGAAATGGTGGTTGTGGTGGCGATTGAAAATGGTGGTCATGATGATGGCAATGATGGTGGAAGCGACGACAATGGTGGTGAGGTGATGGCGATTGTAAGGTATTGACCATTTTGGATCTAATTTGTTGGTAGTGGTAGTGGTGGTGGCAATGCTGGTTGCTGGTGAAATGACAATTCTGATGATATTGTGATGGTGGTCGTGGTCACAAATGGCGATGCTAGTGAGGTAGCATTGATAGTGGTGGCGATGACGACGACGATGACAATGCTCACAAATTATTTGGTTGATAATGACCAAGAGATACTGTGCAACCAATGAAATATATAATTTGTGATTAATAAATAATGCGTGATCTAAAAAATTGTTAAACTGTTACCAATAATTTGATAAATTATGAACGAAAAATAATTTGTGAGTAATTAATTAAATATTTTATAACCATGAAATAAGTTGTAACTTATAAAATTTATGATTTGTGATCAATTAATAATATGTGATACATTAATTTGATAAATTTGTGACCGATGACTAAATCGTGACCTATAAATTTTTTTATTGTGATCGAGAAATAAATTTTATCCAATTAATTCGATAATTTGTTATCAAATTGTAAAAAATTTAACCTTAATATATTTAATTAATAAATATATGTTTAATAAATTATTCTACAAATAAAATTTTAAAAAAAAATAAATCTAATTTTTAAAGTTTTAAACCTCGTTTCTTAGTTTTGAAATGTATTATACTCAATATCTTATATGTGAATTTTTGCCTAATATTAGTTTGTCCTGTTTGACACCTATATTCATCCTCATCTTTATACGATAGAAACTGGAGTCCATGAGACACATCGCGAATAGTCTACAAAGTTTTAGTTTGACAAAAAGCCAAAATGAGATGGGCTGCTGGTCACGTTCACATTTAGCAAGAAATTACACAAAGCGCTAAGATTGTCTTGTAGTTATAGAAATTAAACCGCATCATTAAAGAATTTGAAGTATTGAAGATAGTCAGAAAAAATTTATCTACTTCTTGTCCTTGAGTATGCACTTCAATTGTGGACGATTTTTTTTTTATTATTATTATTTTTTAAATATGACGAGCCAAATTTTAATAAATGTTGACAATGAGACTTGAATTGTGTATGTATTTTCATAATGTATTATCCATTTTTTTCAAAAAGGCTTCAAGTATTAAAGATAAGATAAAGAACTATTATACCACAAAGAAATACCAGCAATTTTTTTTTATATATATAAAAAGTCTTCATTAAAAATAG